TAGTTCCACATACTCCCATTTTTCTGCGCATTCCTGCATAATTTTCAATTCGGAAGCTGGCCCATTCTCGAGACCAGCAAGAACTACAATCACCAGGCTCGCCTGGGCAAAGGTGACTTTGATTTGATTGATGATGCAAAAGTGCTTCACGCTCATTTCACCTTTGTTCGCCCATTTATTCCAATCATCTAGTACTTGGCACAGAGACTTAGCAAAAGCTTGTTCAGTCACCATACGAAACAATATAGTCTTTGTGGCTTCCTCCATCGTCTGCATGGCTGGGATGTGATCTCGGGAGCGCAACCAATCGAGGGTGGCCTCACGAAGCTCCGTACCTGTCATAGCAGGCGTGTGAAGAGCTTTTTCTATGCGTTTGACGTCGCTATCGAATTCAGCGCGGCGTTTCTTGCGTACTGCTATCATGATTAGCCACGATATTCGAAATTCACCTTTCTAGACGTGCATATAACACTGACTTTCTATCTCTCTCTCTTTCCAAATGTTGTTGTCTATTGGTGATGTATGTATTTGCTCTTCCTGGCTACTTCCCTCCGATTTGAGGTATTTGCGGGTAAATATGGGCGATATTTCTTCGATTCCCTTGCCATACAGTAACCTGATAACGCCTTCCGGAATGGAATCTGGCTTTGCGAGTCGGCGTATATTGGTTGGAACTCTGTAATGCAAAATTGGGGTTGAGCTTTCCGCGTACAGTGCCATTGCGCAGCTGGCGAACCAAATCCCCTGGTGACTGAGGTCATTATCGGTCCGCAGATGTTCGATGTTGAACGAGTCATATTTTCTGGAGCTTGGATATGCAGCTACCAACCCATTATTTGTCACATCGCAAGTTATTGAACCAGAGTCACTCTTTACTTCATCCGCTGGCTCCCGGTGTCTGTGATCCCGGTGGTGGTGACACGGGAGAGTGATAGATCCATGCGTAGTGAATCTCACTGGTCCATCTCTGAGGAAAGACGACCAGTCGCTCCTCGAACCTGACCGAACGAACTCAAGGGAAATTGAGCTTTCAGAGTCATGGTAGGAGGCCACCTGAAGTATCAAAGTCGACTCCTGCGGAGTGTCACTCAGAGTCATCAAGTGACGACCTCGCACCCAAAGGGGCCTTTCTTGGAGCTCACACCACCCCGTTGTATCGACTGTCACACAAGCCGACCGGTAAAGTCGAAGGATCAGATCCCAGAAACGTATTTGAGCCCGCGGTTGTCGGAGATTGTCTCCAGGTTGCGTTCTTTGGGTTCTGGTCCCAATTTGGTGCCCTTTCCATTTCAAGAATGACCAACTACCTCCGGGAATATCACCGCCTTGTAGCGGTGGAAGGTATTCTTCTCTCAATGTCGATGTCGTTGGGCTCAGATTTCTTAGAGGAATATCGTCATTTGAAACAATTGGTTGATGTTCTGTGGTATCATCACTGGGTTGTCTCTGCGGTGATTGAATACGGTACCTGGGAAACTCCACTTCAACAATGCGGTTGAAGATATCTGAGCGGAGTGGTGGAGAAATTCCGTTGCGGCGTAGCACCCGCTTGATCTTGTGCAGATGGATCAGAGTGGCAACAACATTGTAAATGATTGGAAGCAATCCAATAACCGTCAGCGGGACGCCAATGTAGGTGATGAGATCGGAGGCTGAAGGCAAACCAGAATCCCCAGAGGACATCTCGATGCAATGAACGCGGATCCTGTGAACGACCGACAAGTTTGAGCCAGGGAAGCAGAGGGTGCAAACCCGGGCTATCAAATGGACCCAAAAAAAGCCAAGCCGGGTCTACCAACTAGATCACCGGCGGGCTTGTGATGTTTGGCAAATTCATTGGTGTGATAAAGGATATTAGCGCCAACCAGCCGTGCCAGCCTGCCGCAAAGCTGGGTGCTACAAACACATTGTTATCCCGGATCTGGAAAGTTGATTGGATTGGTTTTGCTTGTGTAACGACACGAATCTGCCCGGCTACTGTTGGAGTGCTGTAGAGAAATCAGGCATCCAATCGGGTGGCTGCGATTATCATCATTATATATCATACCAAGGCTGGGTGCATGGCATACATATTCCAAAACCAACAAAGCATGCAATTGACCAAGAATAGCATGTATCCCGATGTTGTTTTCCAAAGCCGGTAAAGCCGGTCAGCCGGAAGCCAACATCCTCACACCAACATATTCGTGATGTAGCTCTAGCACGAACATGAAATTCCAGGCTTTACATCACCCGGCCTACTTCTACGATTCTGTGTCTGCTATTACTGTTACCTTCTTGAATACCGACCTTCAATCTTGTGTTCTATTGCGGGTAACACCTTGACCATATCTCCACGAGAATGTCGTCCACACCTCTTATAGGCCCTACTGCACACAGCGGTTGGCCATTCCTCCTTCTGCGCAGCTTTTTTCTCGCAGGAACACTGGCATATTGCGTCAGATGGTATTTGCAATATCGAAAAGTTAAGCTGGAAGAGGAAGCTATCGGAGCTCAACACGGTTGCAAGCCGGTACAGGCCACTCTACCATATAGATGGCCTTTTGCGCTTGATCTTCTCAAGCGCCAGTACGATGCGTTGCCTAGCGGCCGTTTGCTAGAGTTCCAGACACGGTATATGAAGATTGCTCCGACTCTGAGGATTGATATTCTCGGAGAAGGCTATATCATAACCGATCCTGTTAACATCGAAGCAATCTTGAGCACTCGTTTCGAGGACTTCGGCTTAGGTTCCCGCCGGATAGGGCTCATGCCCCTGCTAGGTGAAGGTATCTTCACGCAAGACGGGCCAGCTTGGCGCCACTCTCGGGAGCTATTACGTCGTCAGTTTTCACGCATCAGAGACTCCGAGCTCACGGCATTTGAAGAGCATACAGACATACTTGTCCGCGCTCTTGAGCACGAGTCACAGACGTCTACTGTTGTGGATATGCAGCCTCACTTTTTTGAGTACACATTGGGTACCACTACGCATCTTCTTTTCGGTGAGCCACATCACAGCCTTCCCGAACATGAAAGGCTTGCTCTCCGCGACAATTTCGACTATGCGACGTTGATTTCAGCTATAAGACTCCGTCTAGCCGATCTTTCCTGGCTCTATACGCCAAGGAAATTCCGAGACGCTTGCAAGGGCGTTCGGGACTGGGCCACCTTCTTCTCCGATAAAGCACTGGACTTCATGGAGGAACATGGCGAAGAAGCTGCCATGAATAAATACTCTTTCATTGTAGACCTCTGGCGTGATACGCATGATCGAAACATTGTTCGGGATCAGTTGTTGCACGTTCTCATAGCCGGTAGAGACACTACTGCCTGTCTTCTCAGCTGGACATTGTCAGTTCGCACACTCATGTTTCAAGCAATTTTTGGCTTGCATGCTAAGCAAGAAACAGTTTCCACCTCGTCCGCAATCCTGAGTTGATAAACCGTCTGAGATCCGAGATGGCGAGCGCAGCAACCCCCAACAGTGGCATTCTTACGCGGAAACATATTCAACAACTTCCATTCCTGAGGTGTTGCCTCAATGAGAGTACGTCATGAATAGCCTATTTTACTTGCCTCGACAATTTGATTGACTCACGTTTTACCAGCACTTCGTCTGTACCCGCAACTTCCTGTCAATGTCCGCTTCGCAATCCGTACTACCATCTTGCCCCGCGGCGGTGGGCCAGATGGCGAATCACCCGTCTTACTCCGCAAAGGCGTTGGCCTCGGGTGGTCCACATATCATCTGCATCGAAACGAAGCTATATATGGTCCTGATGCTTGCGTATACCGACCGAGTCGGTGGGAAGATGGTGACTTGATTCGCAAAGCTGGGCTCGGTGGCTTCTTAGATTTTCATGGTGGACCACGCGTATGTCTCGGCAGTGAGTGCGATTGCTTCCGTACTAATATCGGTTTTCCCAAATTATCAGAGTAATGTTGACTTCTTGGACAGAGGACTATGCAATAATGGAGTCGAGCTATGCAATCGTCAAGATCCTGCAAAGATATCCTAACATTCGACTTCCTCCCGGTGTACCTAATGAGCCTGTTGGAGGGGAGAAGCAGAACCTGGGCATCGTTTTGACTAGCGCGGAAGGAACCAAGGTCTTGCTTGAATAACATGAGGTTGGAGAACAATTTTACGCCTCTTTACTTCAGCGGGGAATGATCGGGTGCCCAGTCATGGTGGCTATCATCAAATACCTGTTTGTGATATTTTATGCTGGTTACTCACTCAACTCTTCTTCTCTATGAAAGATCCGATGGTACGTTCTGCACCGTGTCAATCAATGGGCGTGGTCAAGTGAGAGGCAGAAGCCCGTAGCCACATCACCGTTGAGCTGTACCACGTGCCCGCGTCCTAAGTCCGGCACCTGAAGTCCATGTGCTGACAAGCTACAAGGTAGGTACTTTAGCTTACGTACATCTCTTCAGGATAATAAAGCATTGGATGAGCAGGCTATCGAAACAGGTGTGCCAGTTGCCTCAGTTGCCCCAAGACGCCGAGACGCGGAGTAGTCTTCACAGCCAGGAAGCCAACCACCCAACCAGTCTTGCAGCCGGGCCACCATCCCCCGTCTCCTTTCACCTTAGTAGATGACGATGACAACCTTCAAGGTGATTATTCCTGCATTTCTTGATTTTCTAGGTCTTGGGTGGTCAAGCTGTGTTACCGCATGGTTTTCCAATATTATGTCACATTGTCGGAAAAGGACATCTAACGCGGATGTCAGCCCGGGGCAAATGGCAATCAGTGACAGCCTGCTTTTCGTTCGGCTTATCGGAAGCACCTTCTATTTATAGTAGAATTTCGTTGGTTCCCCTCTCGCGCCGAGCCTCCCAGTCCAGATGAATGCATGACCGACGGCCGCTCTTCGTTCCCAGAGCGAAGGCAACCCCCAAATAATTCACCTACTTCAATTTCTTTCAGTTTACTCCATGATTTGATTTAGACAGGCAGTCACGACAATATGGCAGATGACACATGTTCTTTTTCTTCGTCTGCTACAACTATGTTGTCGGCGGGCCCATCCACCGCTTCTATTGCTTCTGCCGAAGGATATCTGATCCAGCCTGAGGTTTACTTTGTCATCCAACAACTACACAGGACTCTCGAAAAGATCTTGGGCTACTTGTTTGACATCAAAGATCACTGGTCAGATAATTCCTCGAGAAGCGAGTCCTATGGATTGGAGGGGGCAGCCCATTTGCTCTCTGGCGAGTGTGAGAAGCTCCAAACACTTCAGCATGCTACTTACGGCAACCGCCACGGCCGGCTTGCCATCTGGAATTTGGTCTACACTCTGGTGAGCCGTTGCCAGAGCGAAGCTGCTAATCCCTTGAAGGGATATCTTCATCAACTACTCAACCGCGATGAAGCACAGTCTAGCAGCGGCAGTCGGTTTCTCCATCTATTACAACAGTATGAAAGCATGATCCGCACGCTGGATAATCACAGAGACCTTTTATGTGTCCTGCGGATTGCACTCGAACTCGCTAAAAGCACCCATGAGATAGAGATGGCTCTCCAAGAGAACAATTCACAAGACTCAGACGACACCCAACATCACTTGCAAAAGGCTTATGAAGCATCAGGTCTTCTCAAGAGACACACGGACCAGCTTCGTTATGGAAGCTTACAGAAAGCCCCCGATGTCAAGCAAGTGATTGAAACAACAGAAGATGTACGCAAGGCCTGGCGTTTACTCTCGAGAAACGTACATTTCACAGAACGAGCACCAGGAAATAACCACTATATTGGGCAAAAGGACAAATTAGAGGAGATCAGGAAGGCTCTAGAGCCGGAGCAGCCTGATGCTCCCGTGTCTGAGCAGAAGCGCTTCGTTATCCAAGGCCTGCCTGGGTCGGGGAAGTCAGAGATGGCTCTCAAGTTTGCTACTGAGTATCGAGGGCAGTTTTGGGGTGTATTTTGGGTCGATGCCAGCAGCGAGACCAACGCAAAGGCATCATACCTCGAGATGGCCAAAGTGTTTGGTGTGAACTCGACAGAGCAGGCAGCAAAACAACACTTGAGCACCCGACACCCGTGTCGTCCTTGGCTTCTGATCATCGACAATGCCGATGACGACAAGATATCGCTTGATACACTTGCGCCATCTGGGAAGAACGGCTATATTCTCGTCACCACACGAAATCCGGAGAAGACTATCTTTGGGACCGCTGGTCAAAAATACCTGCAGCTGAGTTCCATGCGGAAGGACGATGCCAGCGAGCTGCTTCTCGTCGCCGCGGATTACAAAAAGAAGAATTATGGTCAAGGAATTTTGGAAGAGGTCGCGAACATATGCCAACAGCTGCATTACCTTCCCCTGGCGCTTGTCCATGCGGGAAAGGCTATTCGTCATCATGCCTTGAAGATGCGGGAGTATATGGGTTATTTTAGGAAGGAAGCCAATATCATCCGCGAACGATGGAGGCAGCGCGGCATACACCAAGATCTCGATCCTCAAAACATTCCATCAGGCTCCAAAATCTTCGATGACAACGACAATATGTCTGTTTTTGCCAGCTTTGAGCTCCTAACCTTTAGTCAACTTAATAGGTCCAGTGACGAAAGCTTCACTGATGCTATCCAGCTTCTTCAAATCTTTTCATTCTTAGACCCCCAGAATATCAAGGTCGAGCTCCTCGTACAAGCGGCTCTGAACCCCCTTCGAGAAGTTACTGAAAGAAGCGAGGGCCAGAAGCAGGAGGCCGAGATTCTGCAACGCCTTGGTCTCAAGAACCGCACTTCTTGGACTGAAGTCGTACAGCGAGCCATCCAAGCCGCGTCTAGCCTTTCGAATCTCCCACCTATTTTACCAGAGGCTTTGAAGAACCCGCGAAATCTGGACGTGGATGACTTGAGAGACCAAGTCAAATACCGAGTTGATAATGCTGTGCGCCTCCTAGCATCCCGATCACTTATCATGAGAGCGACAAGAGACAACAAATCAACCAGGGACGGCGAGATGACTTATACCAGTGATGAAAATGAAGAGGAAAATTCGGCTGTCGAATACTATATGCATCCTCTTGTGCACGAGTGGATTCGTGAACGACCGAGCCTTTCAGTTGCTGAGCAAGCTCTATTTTGCCAATACGCTTTGAGCATTCTTTCGAATTCAGTCCGCATAGTCGGCGGAAATGAGGATGCAGACACGGTTTTTCGGGTTGCCTTGAAGCCGCACATCGAAATGGCCTTGAGTCTTTCAAATCCGATCAAGGAACGATTAGAGACGAATTTGACCCGGGGGAAAAACGACTGGTGGTACAAAAGATGGACACGATGGGCGACACAGCTATTTTCTGGGCCCTGGGAGACTCAGATGCAGATGAGCCAGAATGCTAGATTTGGCAAGGTGTTCCTGGAGAGTGGTGCCTTTAAAGAAGGAGAGGGCCGATTGTCTATCGTGCACAATTATCTCATACAGCGTCTTGGACCTGATCATCAACTTACGAACCTCGCGAAATTAGGGCTAGCTAAAGCATTGCTCCTCCAGACACGACGGAAAGCATCTACTGAATTGTTGCGGCAAGTACATTCTTCACGCCGCAAGACACTAGGGGACAAGCACCCCCAAACGTTAGAGATTACGACGGAGCTTGCCGAAAGCGTACTTGCTTTGGGCCGCATTTCGGAATCCTTTGGTCTTTGTAAGCAGGCCCTCACTGGCCTCGAGCAAGCATACGGAGTTTACCACCGAAAAACAATTCACTGTGCCCATCTTATAGGGCATGTTCATTTCTTCTACAACGATTTTGAGGCCTGTCTTACGCAACACCGCAAGGTCATGCAGCTCGTCAAGCAGAACGCCAACGAGAAGCCGAGAGATGGGGCTGTCTCTGAGTTAGAGACACTCGTGTATCAGGAGCATCTCGCAGGTGCTCTCATGACTGTTTCTCGAAGTAAATCAGAGCCACAGCGTGAGAGATACTTGGCTGAAGCAGACCAGTTGTGCGACAATGTTGTCAAACGGCGTGAACGCATGTTTAGCCGGTCCCATCCGTTGACCCTCTATGGCCGAGCTCAACAGGGCCGGGTCCTAGCGGCTCGTTATCACCAGAACCCAGATAAACTGGCTGAGATCGCGAAGATGATGTTCGAGACGCTTGAGATCGCGCAGAAGAATCTCGGAGATAGTCATCTCGGCGTCTTGGCCGGTCAAAAGTGGTACGCCGAGGTGCTGATACAACAGGGACGCTTGGATGAGGCGGAAGATTACCTGCGCAAGGCTTGTGACAAAGAGAAATACGCCGATGCTAGCGATATGGATGGTGAGCATCCGGACAGGATATGGCACGTCTGGGAACTTGTGCAACTCCTCGAGCGCAAGGGAAACCTGAAAGAGGCACTGGAGCTGTGCCGAGAGCTTGAGGCAAACATTCAGACTGTTGGTGGGCATGGACTAGGCCCCAGCCATCGATTTAACAAACGGCTACTCCAAAGGATCGAGGTGTTAGAGACGCAAATAGGGGTATGAGCTCTTTGTATTTCCAGAATGATGGTACAGGCTATTAAAACCAAGGCACATGATCATAAAGAGTAGGAAAGTTAGCCCGGGATAAATTACTTATCGGTCGACTATCGATTGATCACTTGGCTCCGGAGACGAAATCCGCCATTCATCTAGATGTTTCCTCCTATGTGTTGTTAATTGTGAGGTTCTATGTGATGGACCTGGCAATCTGATTGTCAGCGGTTGACACTTATGGAAAGTTCATAGCCAACCTTTCTAACGGACATGGTGATAATGAGGTGGGCGTTGATATATGGTAGCAGGGTAACCGATCGGCTGAAGGAATAAAGTAGCTCGAATTTTTCTTAGAGCATCTACTTGAGGGAGTCAACGACGGAATTCACTGTCTTTCCGTGCCTTCCCTCAAAGAAGGCTCCGTGAATAGGCACGCCGGCAGTCATTGAGGAGAGACTGTCTCGGCAATTGGTATCCGAACATGGCTACAAGACACGACCATCGTGCTGGTGACACCACAGCTCGAGTTGGCATTCTCGACAGGATCAGGCAATAAGTAAATCAGAGACTTACATGTCTTCGATTCAAAATCACGTTTCAATTAGCCTATTTCGTCTTCTGCCGTATTAATTTCCTCATCGTTGCACAACGTTCCCATAGAAAATGATGTGGCGTGGTGGTCAATTCCAAAAACCTCCCCATTTCCCCCTGACTGCCATTGCAAAGACGCCTTGCTATTTCAGACGGTCGCAAGTCTTCAAAATCCAGACCTTCTGTCTCTCGCATCGAAAATCATGTTCTAATGTCGTTTCCTTCAAGTGTTGAGGCCGATACCTGCAACAATGGGTGCCCTTGCCTCCAAACAGCCTTACTCCTATCAAGGCTGCGGTGCGGTCACCGACGCGGCCAACATTTTAGACCTTCAGTATGACAATCCGACGAGCAACGGCCCTACAGAATGCCAGAATACATGCATCGCTAACTCGCGTGCTGCGTCACTACTACTCGATGGGAAGTGCTACTGCTCCAAGGACGGTATAACCAGCATCGAGTTTGCCGCCGATCCTCCCCCAGACGAACAACTTTGCACCATCTCATGTAGCGAAGTACTACCGCCGATTATTTCTGGGCTTCCCCCTATCAGTCTCCCGTGTGGTGGCTATGACAATGGGGTTCCAGTATATATTGTCTATGCCATTTCAACAGTGTCCACGGCAACAACAGCGAGTAGCACCTCGTCGAGTGCGTCGCCAACCTCCACGATTACTTCTGCATCATCCCCGGTTGTGACAACAACCTTTCAAACGACATCTGACACGACTTCCACGTCTATCAGCCCTTCAACTTCCCCCACATCGACCTCTTCAACTTTCTCCTCCACTTCATCATCATCCCCGGACTCTCCTTCCTCGACATCATCTGTAACCTCCTCTTCCACGTCTTCATTCTCAGATACAACTTCATCGGCGTTACCTTCAACCTTCTCTTCTACAACAGCGTTACCCTTAGATTCTTCTTCGTTGACGTCAACTTCCACCCTATCTTCTACCTCATTGTTGTTCTCGAATTCTCCTTCTTCGACATTGTCTTCAAACTTCTCTACACCATCATCCTCTACAATTTCTAGTGATACCTACAGTACGCTGGGTACAACTTCCTTTTCGTCAGGAAGCAGCATTACAACACCCTCCGTTAATCTCACCAGTGCCGACAATAGTCCGACGAAAACGTCCGCTTCTAGCCTGGCTTCGACCAGCACGCCCTCGACGACAAGTGAACCAACTCCTACCAGCCCAGCCTCGACTACGAGTACTACAGCCAGTTCTTCCTCTAGGACAACAATTAGTGGTACGACGAGCAGTAGCGCAACAGCCACCACTTTGTCGGATACATCGAGGGACGGGCTCTCTTCGTCTACCACAGTTATCACCGCAAGTGATCCGCCTTTCTCCAACTCTACGATCTCCACCACTCGAACCTTCACTCTTCCTTCGACTGGCAGTGCAGACAGCTTGTTACCGCCTACTGCCACTAGTCTGGTCAGCACCGGCACAACAGTCTCACCCTCTTTGGTCGGACTTCCCTTCCATTTGGAGGTTATCCCGCCGACCGGCCTGTCTCGCAAATAGGCTTTCTTTTTAGATTCGTATAGATTTCGATAGGATTGCGATTTTGGTGGTGTGGCCCGCCTTCATTTATTTCAGAATTCTCAAAATGGTTACGAAGTTCAGGCTATCAAAGATTGCCATAATTGATTGTGGAATATTGAATAATGGCAACCGGTATCTTCAGTAGTAGCATGTCTACAGAGCTTACAATAATATGTCTCCTTGATGGGCTTGCAGGGCGAACTTCCCTCTCTCCGAAAAAGCCCGTTGTTGCTCCGGTCCCTGCGTCGTCGGCCCGGACCCGGTGTTTCTGGCCCCACAAATGCCGCTTTCGGTTTCGGCGAGCGGTTCGCACCAAGGCTCCGGCAGACTGACCACAAAATGACTGTACACGTAGTCTTAGACGAGAGCTTGCAGAAAGAAGCCGTTGATCCAGGCGTCAAGGCAGTCGTCTTCGAAGCCGATGCCTTTGAGACAGGAATCATTACGATCCGCACCGCAGATGACGAAGGCTTCGCTAATCTCTCCACGAACCCGGACTATCGGGGTCTCGCCGAGGATGGCTTTGGAGACTTCGTCCTCAAAGTTCTCATCAAATACCCTTCGGACACTGAGAGGCTTCCGGGATCGGTGTGGGACTTGGTCAAGGGCCAGTGCATGACCGCGGATAGGCCCTTCCAGTCCCGGGGGCCTGCCGGGGCGTATGCGTTGGCTACTATGAGGCAGAAGTGAGAGGAGCAGCTTCAGCTTCGCAAGTGGCAGACTATTGCGCTTAGTGCGACAAAATAATGGTTTAATTATGAGTCAGGATCTGATTATCGGATCTCGATTGTGAGAATGTTGAAGTGAAGGTATCTTCAATCCAACAGCCGAGAATCATCTGAAGGACCACATAGAAATTAGTCAGGATAATCAAAAAAGAGTTCACCTCCGTAGGCTTCATCTCTTGGTTCTCATACTGGGATTCGAACTCGGGTACTCACTAAGCCTGTCGTCGAGTAGGCTGGTTGGCGTGTTGATTGTTGACCTTAGACCACTCCACCACCCAGCCAGTTTGGCCTGACCCGTCGACCTAGACGGGCGCCTGCTGGCTGTTGACGGAAATGGAATTGACGGGGGGTATATACTTTTGGCTGCTATTACAAATTCCCACGTACGTATACTGTATATTTCTTCAAGTATCCGGACGATCCCTAGGAGTGATTTAACGACGACGACGGATGCCTTGATCTTAACTCGCCTATCTATGAAAGTCGGCACTAACTGCAGTCATTCGTCCAAGGCTGAACCAATCACCATTAGCTTTCAGGCGGATATACCGGTCATACAACCCCAGCAATCTACATATATCAAGCATAGAGATCGAATTATATCTGAGCAGTGATCGTCGCCAGGTTGTTTCAATCTCAGGCGGCTCAACTTACATGAACATGGAGGAGAATACACATACAACCCGGCATTAGTGAACGGCAGTCGTCCCCGTCACTTCGCGGCTCGGACTTGCCCCTCAGCCCATTTGCGGGGGTGGGGTAGCCCCCGACGCCGGCCACTCGGACTCTTGGCCCGGTCCGAGTGAGGTATCTTACGAGTGGCTCGTACTCGACCCTCAGCAATATGCGACACCATCTGGGAGGCTTGAATCGGTTTTCTGTAACGGTATTACGGATTTACGATCTAGTGGTGGTCGCTTGACGGAGGGGCGTCAACCCGCCGAGGCACGATGCTTACACCAACGCTCGACTCCTTTACGGCCACAAATATGCATACTACCTTAGTATTGTATAAATTTCTCAAGATTGCCTGCAAACCTTCCGCTCCTCGCCACCTTCATCCTACTAGCAGCCCTCTCACTCGGAATAATGCGCTCCAAAAAACTCCGTGTCGCAGTGATAGGCCCCAAAGGTCAAGCAGGAAGCTGCGTTGTCGACGAGCTCCTCACGCGAGGCCACGCCGTCGTCGGCGTCTCCCGCAACCCCCCAAAGCAATGGATCCACGGCACCGGCGACGGATCATACACCTCGACCTCTGTCGACATCTACACCGAGCAGAAGAAAGTCATCGACGTCTTCTCGTCAGACTTTGACGCCATCGTGTGCGCCTATGGGCCCAGCTTGGCGAACCTGGATACCGTATACGAGGACGGCGTCGAGGCGCATGGGAGGATAAAGACTGCACTGTTGGCTTCGACGCACGAGGGCCCTTTTATTATTGTTGGTATATGATTTCAAGGCCGGTCGCGGGACTCAGTATGTATGGGAGGGGTTTGTTGCTGAAGTTTCGAGGATACTAGGTGGAGCGGGATCTATTCACGTCGCAAACCGTCTTCAACTTACAGATCAGAAGGACTTTGCGTATAGCTGGTGGTATGCGAACCCCCTCAGCTCACACATGGAAGAGAACTTAGAACTAATAGCGCTGGTTGACTAGGTGGGCATGGCCCGACGAGCACCTCGACTATATGACCGCGCGAGGCCTGGATCACGGAAGCCGGTTCATAAGCTTAGTTGCCGTCTTAATGAAGTGGAGCAGAAGTCACATCCAGCAACCGAGGTGTAAGTCTCTCTCACTCTTGGTCGGTTCGCCGCGGCTGGAAGAGAATACACAGCGTCTCGTTGCTAAAAACAGTGTTTTCTCTTCTCAGCCTACTCCTGGCTTCTGAGACCGGTCACGTATCTAGTCCAACGCTGGCTCAAACGCTGCATGACGGACAGGAAGACCATCGCTCTAATCACCATGTGTCGGGTGGCCTTCACGATGTGGAACGGCGTCACTGAGAAGTCGTGGACCTTCCTCTCACCTCCAGGTCTCTTGCGTGATAAAGGTCAGTCTCTTCTCCTCAACTGTTTGTCTTCCGATTTAAAGACTGGCAGACTCGAGCAGTTGACTCTAAGGACAATTTATAGGTGTGCGGACTGGAGAGTACAAGATCTTTATCGACACACCCGAGAACCCGGCGGCAGAGGCAGCGCAGAATGGAATCTATAATGAGGATATGGCGGTTGCCATCGTTGACGAGGTGGAGAATAACAAGCTTGCGTTCAAGCATTGGAGCTGTACGGGCCCTATCGGGCTGCGTAAATGGTAAGGTAGTTGGTAGAGCAAGGTTTCTCATAAACTGGCAAATGGCGCTGCAAGGGTCACTCAGTAGAGACGATGTTGTACGCAATCACGGCCTCTGTCAACCTTGCAGTGATGCTCACTTTAGCCTTTTGCGGACAATCAAGGCGGGCCACTTCTTGCCAGGACGCCTGAAGGATGAACTGCTTGACTGTGAAGAAGGTACCCGAGAATACGAGCAGGATAGACCGCGAGGCTCACTACTTAGCTAATGAATCATCGTCACCATTCTAACAACAAGCATCTGGGCCGTATGGTCGAGGGGTTAATCGGACTGCAGAGGCCCCGGTTAGGCAGTGAAGACTCCTGCTTATTTCGGGATCCAAGTTCGATTCCTCGATCGGTCGTCTCATTGTTGTTTTTTATTCTTTATTTTGCTTTCTCCCCTTCCCTCAGTTGTTGTAGACCCCATAGGTGGGGATATCGAACAGCTCCCACGCCATATCACGGTTGCGAAACCTTGTTATAAGATTCGAACTCTTGTTGCTGATCATTCTACTTACTCGCCGGCCGGTCGATGGGTTCCAACTTGAAGTCGTGATCCGCCCCGGGTGCTATAGCCGGGCGCCGGCTTGGCCGCCGTTTCCGACATTGCCGCCGCGCCCGAGAGGAGAATCCCAACGACGGAGCCGGTGGATCCACTGGCGTCAAGAGAGACCATTAAGTCTGTGCTGACAGGCACGGTGCCAGTAATGGTGCGGCTAAGAGACATTTGATGTAGTTTTTACAGGTGCAGTGGCTTTTTCAAAGGGAGGTCAAAATGAGGAACATAGTCAGGCCAGTGTCCATTCGGCCGATTGCAAAATTGACCGATACGAAATGTTGAACTCTAAGCATCGTCATGTACAGGACCTAGCAGAGGCAGGCAACCCCTTGCATAAGTCCGTCAAAAGTTGCCCTCAGCTTGAGACACCCACCAACCTTTTCTGATGAATGCCATGTTCTGTCGGCGGCCAGCGTGCCAGTAGACAGCCACGCCACAAACCGTGACGACCTATTTACTGTGGCCTTATCTCTATGGTATCCAAGATGGAGCTCTACTGAAGTCATCTAGAGCTCGGAGTGTTTCGGCTTCAAGATTGTGTTTCTCATCAGCGGACCCGTGTGGGTTCTCAGGAGTCTTGAATTGGTGGTTATTTCGTAGGGGCCAACGCTGAGAGGATGGACGATTGTGACTTGTGATGTCAGAACAAAAGATGTCAGAATGAAAGGGCCAGAGAGAAGAGGCCTTCATACGGATAGATCCTTTCAAACAGCAGAAGGTCGGGAAATTGCCGTATGCTGCGTGGCTGATAAACACTCCCTCGCCCTTGAGATCGTTGTCTTTGGATGTTTTATTGCCAAGGGGCTGCAAAGGAGCTTTGCCCTGTGGATCGGTCGCAGACAAAGAAAAGTCGGCGCTAGTCTAGAGCTGGAGATCAAGCTGGAGCTGGGAGAGGAGCCGAAAGTATCTGGAGACGGACTGCTTTGACAGGCCACTCAGGCAGGTTCAGCGGAGTCGAGGTGGGTGTCTTCTGCCAAGACAATAGACGGGTCAAAAGGCAGAGGCGCAACCAAGATCCGGCTTGGCTCAAGTCGGGTGACTGGATTCGAGAGTCGAGGCGACGGTTTCGGGAATAGCTGCATCGCCAAAGACACTATACTCGAGTTGGGAATTGTTCGATGCCACCTTACGATCTAAGACGATGTGGGCTCCTCTTTCTGGTCGTGTGTTGCCTCGTCTTGTTTTTTTAGCCAGAGTTTGTCCTCCTCTCAGGGAACGGGAAATGATGGAAGATCGTGAATGGAGCGGACGACCCTTTTCCGGATACGACATTGGAGCAAGCCAGCAGGCGAGCAGCGAACCACCATTCCCCTGGGAAAATAAGGTCCATCTGGTCCATCTGGATCCGTTCCCGCCCCGCTGTTAGGTTGCGTCGGTCCCCGGCCCCTGGATTTGGTGCAGCAAGAATGCTCTTCCAAGAGTTAAGGTGCGACCCGCCTCGGGAGCCAATTGCGCTGGGAGCTTCTCTTTATCTCAGGTGAGCCGGGCGTTAGGTTGGGGGTTCGGTGCCAGTTAGTGTCCGGTCCGGGGCATGAAGAGACTGGTAGAGACAACGCATTTTCTTGGTGATACGGTACGGAGGATGAGGGGGCGGGTAAGCTCGAGACACCTTGTGGAATGCTGTTGAGGTTGTAACTGTCGACCGATGAGCTACCTGTACAGTAGGAAGTATGTGTAACGTGGCAATGGTACGGTTAGCCAGTACCGCTGAGTTGGGGTTGAAACGTTTTTGATAGAACGCGAGAGGCCATCTTTAGACATGGGGTATGGTAATCTTGGATTACGCGACGGCTATCCATCGTTAAGGAGAAGCCGGGTCCGATAGCGATCATGGTACCTTTACCAAGGATTTACTAGCAGATGAATGGCAAGTGTTAGCATGTGGACCTCGAAACACAACCGAAGAGCGTGTTAAACCCCTGGACCAACCATTTCGTTGATCAATCCGACACAGGGAAACCTCAGATCTTGCGTCTTGGACACAGAGGTGACAGGGCACCTTCTGTGCAGGGTGTGTAGGTCCACCGTTCAGGGATCCTGCAGAACGGCACAATGGGTGAGTATTGAGTCGAGAGCATTTATACGAGTACTGATGTTTCTGGTGATGTGTAATTGAGGTGGCAGATGGACAGCTAGACAATGGAATTTTCGTTCCTTACACAGGCAAGTACGAAGTACTCCGTACCTAAGGTATATCAGGGTACCTACCTACCTACCTAGGTAGGTAATTAGTGACCGGTGGCCTCGTGGATCATCTTTCCCGTCTTACCTAAGAGATCCGGGGTGTTTCCTTCCCAAGCACAAGTTCCTCCCCTCCGAGGTACTGGATTTTTTTGGACCTGGGCCAAGCTCCCCGGTGTGTGCTGCTGCTTCCTACCTTACTGCCACGTCCCACCCCCCTTAACGCCAATCTGTACATGCCACCTGCCTTACTTCGCCCTACCTCACCTTCCTTGCCTTTTCAATCCATTCTCTACGTACCTTCACTTTTCTTCTTCTCCTGCCGTCTTACGTGCCTTACAAAGTGCCTTCGTGCCTTCCAACCTTACCTCATCTGCGCCCGAGTTCCAATCCGTGGCCTTTTATCCTTCCCTTCCTTTCTCATTCGTTCCTCCGCTCCTTGTCCCCCTTGCCTGTCGTCCCAGCTTCCTTCGTGGCTCTGGCTCTGGCTCTGGCCTTACCTTTAGCTTTTCCTTCCGACAACGACAACGACGGAAACCGAGAAATGACATCGAATTAGCATACGCATCATCCTTGCTGCTTCTCGAATTCTTTGGACCCCAGGGTCCTCCATCCTTCGACTCGACTGTCTAGCGCTACCTGCAGAGTAGCACGCGACAGCAATACAACTTCTCCTCCACCGCGCGACGAGAGCCTCGCTCCGGCGAGCCCGCAAACATGATGCCCCGCCGACGGAGCCGTTATGTGATTCTTGTCGCTGTTGTGATGGTCTTTATGCTGTATCAGGTCTTCAAAAATCCTGAATGGGATTCCACAGGTCAATCCAGCAGCATCAAGCCCAGCGAACCCGAAAAGGGCCAAAACGTCCATAAGGATTCCTCGAAGCCACCCCCGGCCAACGATCCCGCTTCCAACAAGCACCTCAACAACCAGCCGCCCCCCGATAGCGAACATCCCCACGACCAAGAGGAAGACGAGCCTGAGCAGAACCCTCAGAAGCAGACGGCCAAGCCCACTGTCAAGATTCCTCAGCTCAAGACGGAGAAGGCCAAGGCGCCCACCAACACTCTCTCTGGCCCTACCCTTTCCATCCACGCCTACAATGACGAGGTAGAGGCCACCAAGTCGCCCGAGGTCACCAAGGCGCCCACAAAGCCTCTAGAGTTGGAAGAGGACCTCCATGCCAAGAAGCCTCCCGGCCGACCCAACTTTGATATCGCCGAGAGCCTGTCGACCTCGACATCACAAATCCACTGGCACAAGGTCTCCGAGCACTTCCCCGTTCCAACGGACGAGATTATTCCCCTCCCCACCGGCAAGCCCAAGGACATTCCCAAGATCCAATACGACTTCAAGCCAGAGTCCGAGGCTGCCAAGGACAAGCGCGAAAGGCGCCTAGCCCTGATCAAGGCTGAAATGCTACGGTCCTGGGGCGGATACCGCAAGTACGCTTGGATGCACGACGAACTTTCGCCTGTCAGCGGTCGTAACCGCGACCCCTTTTGTGGCTGGGCCGCTACTCTCGTAGACGGTCTTGATACGCTCTGGATCATGGGCATGAAGGAAGAGTTTGCCGAGGCCGTCAAGGCCGTCAAGGAGATCGACTTCACCTACAGCCCGACACGCCGTGACATCCCGGTCTTCGAGACCACTATCAGATACTTGGGCGGCCTCCTCGCTGCTTACGATGTGAGCGGCGGTAAAGAGGGCGGCTACACTGTCCTGCTGGACAAGGCCGTTGAACTCGCCGAAATCTTGATGGGCATTTTCGACACCCCCAATCGCATGCCTATCTTGTACTACAACTGGATGCCCGAGTATGCTTCCCAGCCACACCGAGCTACGACCGTTGGCGTGGCTGAACTGGGTTCGCTAAGCATGGAGTTCACACGCCTTGCCCAATTGACCGGTAAAGACAAGTACTACGATGCCATCGCTAGAATTACCGACGCTTTCGAGGACCTCCAGAACCGTGGCACTACTATTGATGGCATCTTCCCTGAACAGCTGGACGCCTCTGGCTGCAACAGGACCGCTGAAGCCATTATTTACCAAGAGGAACAAGCTGCGGCTGCTAGTGCGAGTGCGGCCGCTGCTCGGTTGAGCGAGCCCCAGGGCCACGAGCCTGCGGCTGCTGAGGCCAAGCGCGACGAAACTGATCCGATTTTGCCGCAGGAAACTGCTGTGGCCAAGGGCAACGGCAGTGAGCCGGAACGCAACCCACTCGCGAGGCGGGCTGTTGGTGTCGACAAGAATGGCGAGTCTGTGGTTGAGAATGCAAACATCGATAACAAGCAGGCTTTCCCGGCACCCAAGGTCAACGAACAGCCCTTGTACCCCGGTAACAGTGGTCGGAGGCCATCTACTCCTACGACACCTGACAAATCTTCATGGGAATGCATCAAGCAAGGGCTTGCCCCTGGTGGTTGGGGATACCAGCAGTATAGCATGGGTGGTAGCCAAGATTCCACCTACGAGTATTTCCCCAAGGTTAGTTCACCTTGAGGAGTTGTACTGAAAAAGAAACTAACTCGCGTAGGAATATCTCGTCCTTGGCGGTCTGGAGCAAAAGTACAAGACGATGCACATCAAGACGGTCGAGGCTGTGAAGAAGTGGCTTCTCTACAGGCCTATGGTTCCCAAAGAAAGGGATATCCTCTTCTCGGCCAAGGTTTCGACATCTGGCGACCCCGAAAACGATCTGCGAACTGAGTATGAAGTTACTCACCTCACCTGCTTCATTGGTGGCATGTTTGGTCTGGGAGGCAAGATTTTTGACAGACCCGATGATATTGAGATCGCCAAGAAGCTCACTGACGGATGCGTCTGGGCGTACGAGACTATGCCCTCCGGTATCATGCCTGAAGGAGCCTCTGTCGTGCCCTGCGCGTCTACCAAGAGCTGCCCGTGGAACGAGACCCTTTGGTGGGAGCACCTCGACCCGTCAGCTGACTGGCGTGAGGCACAGGTCAAGGCGTGGGAGGATA